GAACATTCTAGCTGTAATCAGAGGAGTACCTGCGACACTTTAGGAATCGGAGATCAAGGAAGAGTTGCAACAGAGGGGATATTCCCCCCTGCACATAATTCGCCTGAAACGCGGTGGCGGCGTGCCATGCCTTTAGTAGTAGTCATACTGCCCAAGATAGAAAAATTTCAGCAGCTGTTCAAGGAACACGAGCTGCTAGGCTTGGCTATCCGAGTCGAAGTTCAAAAGAACTCAAGACTCATCGGGCAGTGTCACCGCTGCCAAAACTATGGGCATGCGCAATCTTACTGCACTGCACCACCTAAGTGTCTAAAATGTGCTTCTGACCACATGACCCACTTATGCCCTCAAACAGAACAAGAGGAACGAAAGTGCGCGAACTGTGGAGGGGGGCATCCAGCGAATAGCCGAACTTGCAGATTTGCCCCTAAAAAATCTGCACGTGATAGCGCAAAGGCGCAATGCAAGTTACGCGGATGCAGCTAGGGATGCAACCCGGGCTGCCCCCTCTGTGGGATCTTCTGCGAACAAGAAAATTTGGACCTGGCAACCGCATTAAGGTTCCTTACAGCAGATCATAGGTCCTCTGATTAGCGCAACACAGGCTTTGCAGGCGATCTTTCCTGCAAATGGCGAGGTACAATCGACGACAGCCTGCATTTATCAAAATTCTTTTTTGGAATTGTTTGGGTCTAAGGGACATTCCCAAAAAACGGGAATCGTCTAGCTTTCCCGAATTACGATGTTATCCGGGCTGATAGATTGACTGGACGGGGTGGCGGCTTGGCAGTGCTAGTGAAACGCGGTATTGACTACCACAGAAGTACAAATGCTGAGATGCAGAGCATCGAAGCGGCTTCCGTGGTGGTCAATATGACGGGAGGTGTGCCATTAAAAATCACATCGGTGTATGTCAGGTGTGGTATCAGGTTGCAAGAGGCGGATCTGGAAGTCCTTTTAGACTGCTCGGGGCCACTTATTGTGGCAGGGGATTCGTCTGCACACATCGAGCATGGAATTCCAGGTTGAATTCCACCAGTGGGATCCGACTGTACAACCATGTGATACGAAATGGCTACCTCATACATAGTACTGAGAAGCCGACGCACCACCCATTTAATCAACTTCAGGCACCTGATGTTCTTAATTTTGCATTATTCAAAAACTGTAGATACAGTATCACTTCTCGAATCATCTATGACATCTCAAGCGATCATCTTCCCGTCGTTTTGGAAGTGGCTAATGAGCAAATCTTGGGGGATGAAACCCCTCCAAGAAAACGCATTGATTGGGAGCTATACAAGTCGCTCCTCAGAGAGTTCCCCAATACACCGATCATAGATGATGAGAACGGTATAGATGCGGCTCAAGCAGAGTGGACAAGTTTTGTTCAGCAGTGCAGCTGTACTTCCCGTGCAGCGACACGGCAGACCTTTTCTGCCAGCAGACATTCGTCAGAAAATTTCTGCTAAAAGGGCTGCAATTAAGCAAGCGAAAAGGTCTTGTTATCCTGATGACATTCGCAGAGCGACGAATCTTGTTCATGAAGTAAGAAATGCTCTTCATGAATTCCGCAATGAGCAATGGAACGACTTTCTGGCGGGGATGCTTGACTCAAGCGTTCCTCTCTGGAAGTTGGCGAAGTCGCTCAAAAACGGAAAGCGTGAACAAATCCCACACATTCACGGTCCTGAAGGCATTGTCTTCAGGACAGAGGAGGAGGTTGAGGTTTTCGCCGATGCCATGGAAATACAGTTCTCTCCCAACGATGATCTTGATAATGACCTCGACGAGGAGCAACACATCGTAAGATCTGTCAGGAGATATTTTAGGGCCAACAGCGCCAGTGACAGTCGCGCTATCGTTGGTGATTTTTCTTCATCAGAAGATTCTTCTTCAGAAGCTTCTTCAACCGAAGATCTGCTTAGAACATCAGCGGTATCTCCTGAGATCCCGCATTGCACACCAGCAGAGATTCAAGGTCATATTAAAGACCTTAAAGTGCGTAAAGCACCTGGGGAGGATCAAATCACTAATAAGGCGCTGAAGCTGCTTTCGCGGAAGTCCTTAACTTATCTCGTGGCAATAGTCAATGCCATGCTAAGAATCCAGTGCTTCCCATCCACGTGGAAGACCGCTAAAGTTACAATGATTCCAAAGAAGGTGGGTTCGATATTTCCCCAGGATTATCGTCCCATTAGCCTGCTGTCAGCTCCGTCTAAGCTCGCTGAAAAGGTGATTCTACGTCACCCTGAGAATTTCTCGACAGATCATCATGTGATTCCTGACGTGCAATTCGGTTTTCGGTCTGAATATAGTACGGAGCTACAGGCGGTTAGGCTGGTGGAACATGTAACCAGAGAATTCACCCTTAACGAAAGTACTAGCATCTTGCTTTTGGATGTCTCAAAAGCATTTGACAAGGTGTGGCACGCGGGCCCCTTGTATAAACTAATCCAAAAGGGCTTCCCTTTTTGGCTTGTAAAACTACTGAAATCCTTCCTTGAAGGTAGGAAATTTCGGATCAAAATTGATAATATCCTATCGACAACACGACTCACTGTACATCCATGACGTCCCTAGTCCCAGCAACTGTGAAGTCTATCTCTATGCTGACGATACTGCATTGGTGGATCAGTCGTGGTCTGGTGACCTAGTCCATGACAGACTGCAAAGTGCAGTGGAGGAAGTATTAGATTGGGCGGATTGGTGGCTAATTAAAATAAACCATTCGAAAACGCAGGCAATCTACTGTACAAAAAGACGTCGAGGCGTTCCGTCTGAAGTTTTAATGAATGGACTTCGTATACCATGGGAATCCTCCGCTAAGTGTCTCGGTGTCATTCTGGATCAAGGGATGACTTGGCGGAACCATATGGAAGCGCTAAAAACTAAATTCCAAATTACGTTTCGACAGCTTTACCCATTGTTATGTAAACGTTCAAAATTAAGTTTGATTAACAAGATTTGACTCTATAAGGTGGTCATAAGACCAGCAATGACTTACGCATGTGCGGCTTGGTATTTTTTTGCTAAAACACACATGCGAAATCTGCAGGTTCTGCAAAGCAGGACGTTGCGCACTATTGCTGATGCCCCATGGTATGTCTCTAACGAAACTCTACATAGAGACCTCGATGTCCCTTACCTAAAGGACTACATTAAGCAACAGGCGCAGCGGCCCTATAGCCTAGCGGAATCGCACAGCAACCCTCTGTTACGTGAGTCAGTGGACTACACAGTCGAGCAAGTTCGCAAGCACAAAAGGCCGCGGCTCGCACTGTAATCAAAATTAACTCGTGAACTTAGAACAACCAAAATTGGAGCATTTTGACACAATCTTTAGAAAAAATCAAATATTTTTAGACCATATCAAAATCTGTGAAGTGATTTTAACAATGCCCAAACGCTGCCTATCCTAAAAGATTCTCTTCTTCCCCTTTGCTCTCGTTCTTCCTTCTCTCCTTTCCTTCCCCTTTTTTCCTTAAAATTGTCCGGTTTCTGGGTGACCAGGCCTGACAGACTTACAAACTGACACTGTGACTCAAGAGCTAAGGTCCCACGGACCGCTCTGACAACCAACGATGACTTGACAAGAATTGGACCAAGTACGGTACCTTGCCGTCACCGTGAATTGAAGGTTGATGTTTATGTTCTTCAATCTTCTAATTTACACTATAGAAATAAAGTTACCAAAAACGTTTTCATGGAGTTGACCATTAGATAACAATAATTCATAATCTGGCAGTAACCGACACATATAATTAAGCTGTTTTAGAAATTCCAGAAATATTCGCGTCTTGCACACCTTATAGAATAGCGTGCTAGTATTATATCAAGAGCATTCCTCCGAATCACTTTTAATTTCATACTTGGTTATGTAATAACATTACTTCACATATGAACATTAAAACATGCAAAGGAAGCAAGTTGGTTAAGCAGAAAACAATGGAGTATCAAGATTTGAAGCAACAGCATAGGAATTTCCGTATAAGATGTCACATGTCTATATAAAGAAAAATTGTCACCATGTTGGTCTTTAGTGTTAATACGCAGTAGGTAGTTTGCTGTACTTGTAAAAATAAAAATGAATCTCGTGCAGCCTTTTGTAAGTAACATTTTCCAGTGTTTCTTGGGTATGTATATTTTCGGTATAGCAATAGGGTATTTTTTCGAACTGGTAAAGAATGTTTCATATCAGTTTTCAGTAAACAAAATGATATGCGTATCCATGATATGGATGGTAATTTGTATCCTGAGTAAATGTGATAAAAGAATACGAAAGGGATAACATGAAACCTCACCAGAAAAAACAGTCTTCGTTGTGATATTTCCAAAATTCTATTTTTCAAGTATAAAACTTCTGCGTATTTGTTCAAAAACCTGAAACATGGTAACCAGTGGGGGTATGAAGTTTCGTCATCAACAAAAACTAGGTTTTACTTTCAATAAATATTTCTCGTATATGCAAATGGTATTAAATGACTTGATATTATGATCATGTGAAGGTAACCGATACGAGTTATTGATTCTATTGATTATGCAAAAATACATACAAAACACCAAAATGTAGTAATATATATGGAAAAGCCTGAGGTAACATGACAAATGGAAGTATTAGGAACAAGGTAAAAGTTCCCTTTCAACTTTTTACATTTGGAATGCAAGACTGTGGTTTTATCATTTTGCCAAATTTTTTGAAAAATATCTCATCTTTCATTTGGCGAAATGATTTATAGGTGTTACAGAAACAAGCAAAATGCTAAAAAATACAGCGAATGTCCAATTTGTGTAACTAGGCCAAGAATTATAATAATATTTCTAAAAAAATAATCTTTACTACCGTTTTGGTTACCTCACTAGTCTATTTAAGATGTTATACTTGATCATTCGTTCAAAATTTGTTTTTTAGCTTCTGGTTGTAATAAAACAACTGGCAATTATATCAGCTGAAGGACTGGGAGATTTCATCAATGGTTCTCCAGAAATTATTGCAGCAACCTCGAACGAAGTGGAGCATTACAATGTGATCTATAAAACCGTTCCGGAACATGTTCCTGTGGAACGGATGGTTCCTTTCCCAGTAGAAACAAGGGTTCCGGAGCCTGTGCCAGTTTACGTTCCACAACCATACCCCATTGAAAAAAGGGTGCTGGTACCTTATAAAGTATATGAAAGACAAGAGGTGCCCATTATACACAGGTAACATTGAAAACAATGGGATCTCAAAAACAAAACGACGTTACACAAGCATTATGAAAGAGGTGACGGAACATTTCCAGGAAAACTGAAGAACAGATTCAGCAGGTTAAATATGAAAAAAATTTCACATAAATATTATGTATAGGGTGTTACTCAATGATAAGCAGCAATTCGAAGGGGTTCTTGCTGAAACAAGAAGTCTCGGTTGCAAGATAGGGTGTAAAAATTTGAAAAATGATTGTTTTTCTTCTGGTCATTTCCAGCATGTTTTGTAAATATTTTTCAAATTATTGTTACTTTCCATTCCTCAGATTCTAGAAAATGTTCTATCTTTCTCCCTCGAAAATGAAGTGAGAGATGAAAAATACACAGAGACAAAAAATCTATATCTTTATTTGCCTAATTAAAAAAAATAGTTTCTTAAACATTGCATGACGTAAATTTGTGGTCAATATTATTCATAAGACTGTCTTTTGAGACGCTAATGAAATTCATAATTATCTTCTAGTTTGTGATAACTTAGCTTCTTATCAAAAATAAAGAAGCCTGCCGAAATTCAACAAGATCGACATAAGTCTCTTAGAGATAATAAAAGCATCTTTGACAACTTTGACACCTTGTACCTTGGAAACGATACTTTTTAGGATACATGTTCATATGAACTTATCTGCTTGAGCGTGGTTCAGAAATGCGTACTTGTGATCATGGTCCATAATTTAATAACACCCTGGATAGGTCCACAATGCAGGATGTTTCAAATATGTCGAAAAAAGTTTTCGTTCAAACTATTTTTCGACATATTTTTTTCACTGCTAACCTGAGAAATCACAAATATCAAAACCAATGGCGAACTCTCCTCTCATCAGGTAAATAATAACAAGACGTAAGTAGTGGATGACATGTAAAATTGCATTTTCCAAAGTTTGTTACGTGAGCTTGACAACTGGAATTTATATTTCTGAATTGTTGAAAACTAGTTTTGAGTGTAGCTCCTAAGCAGCTGTCCTTCCTGAATATGCCAATAATCCACATAATCTTGAAAAACCATATTCAATGCTAGACCCAAGAAATATTCTTCAAATCTTTACGTATTGAATTTGCCTTTAAACCTTATAATATATATATATGTTTCAGATATCCCATTGTAAAGGAAGTACCGGTACCCATACACATACCCGTCGATCTACCTATCGCTGTGAGAGTACCAGTACCAGTGCCTATACCAGTGAACAAGTACACACCAGTAAAAGTACCTGTGAAAGTTCCAGCTCCATATCCTGTGGAAAAAAAGGTTCCAGTGCCTGTGAAGGTACCTGTCAAGGTTCTACACCCGTATCCAGTACAGAAAATCACCCAGTATCCTGTGAAAGTATTAGTAGACAATCCAATACCGTACAAGGTAGAGAAGCCTTATCCAGTACCCAGAGAAAAAGAAGTACCGGTAAGTATCAGTCTTAGATACCTCTTTATTTTTTTAGAACTGTCTAATAGATTGACTCAGTACTTTTTGTACAATGATGAAAATCTATTGAAGATTTTGACCGCATAATTGATTTATCTCAGAAAGTTAAAAAGCGTCAAATAGCATTAACAATTATCAATAATTTCGATTCTCCCAAAAGTTGGTTTTTACTAAGCTCAAAAACTGTTAGAAACTCGATAAGCAGCTTGAAAGCGTTTCGAAAATTTTCGTTTTTCGCCGCTTCTGAACCGATTTTCAAAACCTATAAAACTTTGCGTCACAACAGCTGTTACTGAAACATCTGAAACATATTACGCGATTTTCATGTTGATCGCCCCCATGTATCTCTGGCCGAATAACACCACATATGTTCTAAAATCCTCTTTGTAAGACATTCTTCAAGTAAATTTGGCGCTTTTTTGACAAACTATTGTGATTGGTTGGTTGGTCGACTGACAGACAGATCATTTGATTAACTTATTACTTGAGATAGTGGTTAGTTTTAAATTCGTTTGACTGATTCTTTGATTGATCGATCCATCAACTGTCGATCGATTGTTTAATTGATTGATTATTGATATATTTATTGATTGACTAACTGGTGGACTTATTGATTGCTTGGTTGAGTGACGATTGATTGTTAGACTGATCGATAATTAATCTTACGTTTCAGGTGCCTGTAGAGAAACCAGTACCTTACCCAGTAAGAGTACCAGTCGAAAGACCTGTCCCATACGCAGTAGAACAACCAGTCCCTTACAACGTAAAAGTTTTGGTACCTTATCCCGTACCTATAGAAAAACACGTATCCCAAATTATAGAGAGACCAGTTGGGTACCCCGTAAAGGTACCCGTGGAGAACCCAGTTCCAGTGGAGGTGATCAAGGCAGTTCCAGTGCCAGTTGAAAAGCATGTACCGTATGAAGTGAAGGTTCCGATTGCAGTACCGGTACAGAAGACGGAAGAATCTGTTAAGGAGGAAAGGGCTGTGAAACAACAAGATGTGGATAAAAGTGAGAAGAGCGATGGTGAATGGAGCAAGAAGTCTGAGGACAATGGGCAAATAAAGGAGAAAAGGTCAGAGTCGAAAACTGAAGAAAAATAATATTTTATAATAAAATTTCAGGAATTGTGTTTTTATAAAGTTATTCAAGATGTTTAATGTACAGATACCCATTGAGACTTAAATATATATTTGTTTGTGATATTGTAGTTTCTTTGACATCACCTGTAACGAGATTTTTCTATATACAGGGTTATCCAAATTAAGTGTCCACCATTAGTAACTTTGTTATTAGTGAAAATACAAAGTTGTTTGAATTAGCAAACTAGTAGCATTTTTAACGCTGGTAAAAATGAGAAATAAAAAAAAACAATTGAGAGTCGTTATTTTGATTTTTTTCAGTAAAATAACATTTTTTTAAATGGAAACCCCTGTATATTATATTTTTTTCTGTTAAAGCATCAAATTTTAAACAAAAAAGTTCATAATGACTTTTCCGCTAAAGTCAAAAATAAAGTCAAAATAACGATAAATATTTTTAATTATTTGCAGTATTATAATATTAAGACGGCTATGAAAACAACATGGCGTTCGCGATTTGACAGCATTAAGATAAGCGACAAATTGTTAAACTGGACATACTCGCAACTAGAAGGCTTTGGAAAACAATGATAAAATCAAATAATGTCAAACATTAGTGTAAATACTTGTTATTAAGCTTTATTGTGTCATTAATTTAAAGAAAAATGTTCTCCCATGAAGAAAAGTGTGATATGTTAGAATGCTATTTAGTGTGCAGAAAATCCTCCTTGAGAGCAAGAGAATACTACAGTGAATTATATCCCGCTCGCATTCAACCGTATGAACGATATTTTCTGAGACTTTATCGAAAATTTAGGGGCAACGAAAATGTTTTTGCTAAAACAAGGGCAAAAAAAGAATTCATAATAAGCGAGGCCATGGAAATTGCAGTTATTGGATATTTTGAAGCTTATCGTGAGAATTCAATAGCAGATATTCTCAAGGACTCTAATTTCAGTTATGGTACTGTTCAAAGGATTTTAAAAAAATACAAATTTATTCCGTATAAGTACCGACCAGTTCAAACGCTTTTGGCAGGGGATCCAGAGAGAAGACTTGTTTTTTGCCATTGGTATCTTAGCTTCTGTCGCCAAAATGTAAATAACTTTCGTTACCTTTTATGGACAGATGAATCAAATTTTTCAAATTCAGGAATGTTTAATAGAAAAAACCACCATTATTGGTCAAGAGAAAATCTTTTGTTAGTACATCCAAGAGGCCCACAAGTCCGTTTCAGTTTCAACGTTTGGTGCGGTATAATTGGTTCAAAAATTGTTGGCCCGTTCTTTTATGAGGGAACCCTAACTGGTGAAAGATATGTGGAATTTATGTCAGAAATTCTGACTAATTTCTTAGACGAATTGGATCTTATAAGTAGACATCATCTGCATTTTCAGCAAGATGGCGCACCTGCCCACAACTCCAGAGGTACTTATCATTTTCTAAGTACTACTTTTAATGATCAGTGGATAGGAACAAATGGCCCAATACAGTGGCCTCCCAGATCACCAGATCTAAACCCACTTGATTACTTCTTGTGGGGTTACTTAAAGAACCAAATTTACAAGCGAAGGTACGATAACCTTGACGCGTTAAAGACTGCAGTTAGGGAAAAGATAACCCATATAGATGGTAGGACCATACTTAAGACAGTTCGAGCAGTTGAAAAACGTGCCCAAAAATGTATTGAAGAACAAGGTGGTGTTTTCGAGCATCTTCTTTAAAAAAAATTGTTATTGTATTTTGTAAGATTATAAGTTGATGTCGATACAATTTAATTGTTTCAGATTGGAGGTCATAACTTCAACAATTTGTAACCTAGGAGAAAAGTTATTGTAAGCTTTTTTGTTTAAAATTTGATGCTTTAACAGAAAAAAATATAATATACAGGGGTTTCCATTTAAAAAAATGTTATTTTACTGAAAAAAATCAAAATAACGACTCTCAATTGTTTTTTTTTATTTCTCATTTTTACCAGCGTTAAAAATGCTACTAGTTTGCTAATTCAAACAACTTTGTATTTTCACTAATAACAAAGTTACTAATGGTGGACACTTAATTTGGATAACCCTGTATACTAAGTGACATATAAATCCGAACACCCAGTTTAAATGGTTTTATTTTAATAAAAGTTGGTGAATGTATTTATCTTACTGTAAGTAACAAGTGAAAAAATTTTCAGCCTTATCAGTTGGACATTCCGGTTTTTATACTGCTTTTTTTTAATTCACTAACGCCCTAAAAATGAATATTTTAGCCGCAGTAAAGAATCAACGTTGGCGGATTTTGGTTCTTGACAGCCTTTACGATCGGTTACGATGCCTAGAGTACGGAGAGCTGTACGATTTCGTCAACTTAGCGAGTTTGATAGGGGCCGTATAGTGGGACTTCGGGAAGCTGGACTTTCTTTTCGGGTAATTGCAGTTAGAGTGCAAAGAAGTGTAGGCACTGTGGTTAGGTGTTGTCAGGCATGGCTTCGAGAAGGCCGTACGCAAAGAGCAAGGGGCACTGGTCGCCGCCGTAGAACAACAGACCGTGAAGATCGCCGTCTAAGATTATTAGCCTTAAGGGACCGTTTCTCCACTACCAGGTCCATTTCAAATGAATGGTTTGCAGAACACGGAAGACCTATTGGCATGCGAAGTGTTTACCGACGAATGAGAAGTTTTGGCTTGTTTTCATACCGGCCACACTGGGTCCTCCCTTTAACTCGACAACGGTCACTCTGGGATCAGGAATGGAATAGTATTGTCTTTAGTGACGAGTCTCGATTTTGTTTAGGCATGCACGATGGTCGTGCCAGGGTTAGAAGGCGACGTGGTGAAAGGAGGAATCCACAGTTTTTGTTGAAAGACATGTTCATCACACTGTTGGAGTTATGGTTTGGGGTGCTATAGCTTATGGTTCCAGGTCACCTTTAATCTTCATCAGAGGTAACATGAACGCGCAGCGTTTTACCCTATCTTGACACCCTGGCAGATCCAACTTTCCAATAAGATAATGCTCGACCACATGTTGCAAGAGTCACAATAGACTTCTTTCAACATAATGATGTCACATTGTTACCATGGCCACCAAGATCTCCCGACTTATCCCCAATTGAGCACGTGTGGGATATGATGGGTCGGAGATTGCTCAATTTGCAACGTCCTCCTCAGACTCTAGAAGCACTTCGAGAGGAGTTGGTGGTTGCCTGGAATGAGATACCACAGGAGGACATTGACCACCTGATCAGAAGCATGCCTAGGCGCGTTGGAGAATGCGTAGCACATCAGGGTGCATCCACACATTAGTAAAGGTCAAACGGCTTTAAAGCAGTGCAATCATTTTGAAATTTTTATCATTTACTTGTTATGCTTCATTAAGTACTTATAAAAATTTTTATTAAAATAAAACCATTTAAACTGGGTGTTCGGATCTATATGTCACTTAGTATAGAACAACAGTTCAGTTGTCATCACGGGCTGTTATTGATATCATAGGTATTTGTCTTTGTCGGCCTATCTACCTAGAACTTTTTTTAGAGGTTTGGTCCTTTTTATGAATGTTACTAAGCAATGCAAAATAGTAATGAAAAATATTCTTTCTGGGTTTTATAGCGAGAAGCGATTAGAACTATATTATACAGACGTAATTATTTTACTCACAATCTGTAAATTAGTCTACGGTTTTTCGTAATAATGAGCACAGCGAACCTTATTAAATTCTCCTATGGTGAGAGAAAAAGGTTCCTGTTATTATGGGCGGAGAAATGACCTTACCAAGAACGACTATATAACATTCGGTTTATTTGCCTAGCTGCTAAATGAGTGCTTTATTTTTATATATCCCTGGACTCTTATTCTTAGCACTGTTTTTTAAAATAGAGTTACTATTTCTTTGCCTTATTTTCAACTATTCCATTCAAGTCATCTATTATCTGTACTGATGTCATCTTGTCTTCTTCGCTCACTGTTACTATTTATTATGAAAGACCGTCGATTAACTTACGGATTATGAGAATAATAATGTTCAAACTGTAAAAAAACGCTGTCAAGTCAGTATTGCAATACTGGTTTTCTATATTTGGCCTAGTCCACTCTGCTACAAAATTGATATTCGCCATAAAACCAAGAAAGCGAATACATTATTACTATTTCACATTGCTTAGTAATATTTGGCATAAACAACCTACCGCAAAATTCAAATCATTTCTTGAGCAGTTAAGTCCATATAAACATGGATCGCACTAGTTTTTGCAAATATACAGTGGTTTTCTTGAGGCAATATTAAATTCTTAAATAACATTTTGGTGATCCAACATTGCTTACTACCAAAATGGTACGTCTGATTGCAATCTGGCGTTAAGACAGTGATGCTACTTTTTTGGAAAAAAACAGTAACCGTATGCTACTCAACAGATTTATTGTGAAAAAAACGTATCTTTATCAGCATTGCAACAGTGTTGTACCTCATTGGTTGGACCGACTCGAAATTAATTCAACGCGTTATCAGTTGTATCTCGTTTTCTTTATCGCTCGTTTCCAATAAAACTATAATATCTGTTCCGATTATTATTTAAATGAAGTGTGGGCTAATATGCGCCAATTAACGTTATGTAAAACACAGTAGGTGACAGTAAATGTCCTCAATCTTACAACCAATACGGCATTTGTAGCTGCAAGATACATGTTCATAAGTAAATTGTGCTTTTGATCGAAATACACGGTAATTTTTAATCTGAGGAAGGCTTGGCTTTCACTTTGTCTGCTAGTATCAAATGCAACATATATACTTGTTTTGAAATAGATATAGACAGAGTGGGGCAGAACATATTTCATTTCAATTAGGGAAACCTTTGGTAACCAAGAGTTCGTATGCTCTTATTAGTAATACGAGTATATGCGAATATGAGTCATGTGTATCAAGTTCATTAATGTGATTGTTAAGGGCAATGACCACCTAAGCTCCGATTTCTGTTGATGTGACTGCAGATGCAGATATCATTTTTCGGCTTGACACAGATACAATTGTAATTATCAGCCCGTCCAAAAAAAGTGATCTAAAAACGAGCCTTACAACTACAGGCCTCTGGCTCGGCTTTCTGTTATAAGTAAGGTGATGGAGAGGTGCATAATTCAGAAGCTTCTGGAGCACCCCCCAGCTTACTTGTACGTCACGTAGCTCTGGAGTACACTCAAACAGTCATATGGTGAGGAACACATCGTTGCTCTTGATATTACGAAAGCGTTCGATCAGCTTTGGTATGTTGCCCTCTTATGCAAAATTCCATCCTATGGCCTCCCAGAGAAGTTTTCCAGATTGGTGGCTGACTTTCACTCTCACCACAAGATATTCGTCATAACTGACGGTTTCTCCTCTTCATCCCAAAATGCTAACACGGGTGGTCCATAGGTATCGGTCTTGGCTCCGACATTGTTCCTCTTGCAACGACTTCCGTTCCTATACTATCGATATGATCCACAACTTTGCTGATGACAGCACTCACCATGCAAAAGTTAGGGTTTCTGTATAGAGTCAAGAAGTACTTTTCTCTGCATAACCTCCTCAATCTGTACAAGGCTCAGATAAGCTCTAGTCGCGAGCACTGCTTACACATGTGGGCTGCTGCCGCCCCGACTACATTATCCATGTTCGATGCTGTTCAGAGGGGGGTTGTCCGACTGATCGACGCGACGGCTTTTCTTCAAATAACAGTCTCGGGATCCTTTCCCAGAGATGGGCCGTCGGAATTCTACCTCTTTTCTAACCTAACCCTATGTCAAAGGACTTTCCTCTTCGGAACTGATGATACCGTCGCGCGATGTGCCTGCCAGACGGACCCACCTGACTTCGGTCTCTCATCCTAGCAGTGGAGAATTTTGTAGATCCAGAACTGGCTGATACGACCACTCCTTTATCCCTAGGATATCAAATTTGCGAAACAAGCTGCTCGATGAGACTTTTCCCAGTCCTACTAACCTTAGGCAGTTCAAAAACTCGATTAACAAAGTTTCTTTAGGCTCCTCATAGCAATAGAGGTCCCCTGGTATTTAAGCTTCTGCCTGCACGACTGCTTCGGTATAAAAAAAGATAGAACACGCTAATCAATGTGGTTTTGCATCGGTCTATTGTCCTGATTACCCAGATATATCCACTAAGTTTGAAAGGAAGAAGAGGAGGAGAAAAGAAAGGGAGGAAGTAAGATATGCTGGGAAAAAATCTTGGGGATTGTTGATTTAATACCTGATTCAATTTATCCTAATTTGCAATTACGCGCATTGCATAAAAACACCAGATTGCTCTTGAGGAAGTGGACAGACCAAACAACCACAGTCATTAATATTTATATGGTCTTTAGGTTAATTCAAACGCGCTTAACGGGTTAATAAACATATCTTACTAGCTTAAACGCACGACATGACTGATTTTTAATTGTGTGTAACATATTGGGCCAAAATAGATTGTTTGGTAGGGGGAAGTATATGTATAAATGCATTTTGTCAAGAGTTGTACTCATTTATTATGAAATTGGTTCGGTGATATGAGAGCCCTACTAGTAAGTGTTTGTTCTTTAGTATTTGGTGATTGGTTTTGTGTTTAGTGATAATCCGTGAGTGGACCTGGATGGATATCTTCGAGACAATGTTGGATTTTCCAAAAGTTTTAAATACATGATGCTTCAAAACACCAGACAAAAAAGAATGGACGATTCTTGGGGTTATTCTGATACTACTTTCTGTTTTATCGATTTTGAAAAACGCCAGTGGAATTCGATATCTCTTAAATAACACTGTAGAATCCAATGAAGTGTATTAACTAGTTGATGTCTCAGATGATACCGTAGAGAATAATTGACCGATTTAATTTGCTAGAGATGGACTAGCCCAGATGCAATATTGCTATTGTTTGCATCCCGTATAATGATTGATCAAAAGGGATATTTTTGGAAATCCTTATCCTGTATCTGATGAATTCTATAAAATGAAATATTTCGTACTTCAATACTGATTATGATACTGATTTCGATATACTGCTTCTGCCACTTGGTAGAGTTTTATTAACAAATCCAAAATCATAAACCCGAAAACCGCTCAATATAAATTTTGTCAGGGATGGGCTTTATTGGGGTTCGTTTATCCAGAATGAATTTGTTGATAATTTGTGAGAATAACAGCAATGCACAGTGGTTCAAAAATGTTTCACGAAAAACGTTCATGTACTTGTATTCGCTAATAACGAGTATTGTATCCATTTGTTGAAAATCAAAATGGCGGATCCAATATGGTGTACATGTTTGCAAAAAAGTATTTCGATTGCGCTCAAATTTGAGTATTAGATGAATTCATTATCGTTTATAACGAATTTGATGTCGATTTTCTAAAATCATGATGATCGATCTAGTATGACGGCTATGTTAGCAGAAGAGGATTTGATCGCGTTCAAAAATCAGTTTAAGATGTTTTCGAAGTCGCTAATAACGAATTTTATATTGATTCGTGAATAATGGGTCTATAATGACAGCTATGTTCACAAAAAATATGTCGATTGCGCTCACATTGCAGTTTTATTTCTTTTCTATGCATAATTTATGTATTATTGCATAATGCCGCATAATTTTCAAAGTTGCAGTCAGCTGCAGCCAAAAATAGCATATTTCTTAACTGAGTCTCTAATAAACATGCTATTATTTGAAATAGACGGTACTCTAATGGACGCTTTTTCTAAACTCTTTTCGAATTCACTATGAGTTATAGAAAAACTATCAATTACATATTGTTGTAATGTGACGTGTATCGATTGGCAAATAATACAACGCCATATCACAACTATGTATACGTACGACTCCAAAATTCATTTTTCCACATCTCAATACATCTATTTATTTTAAAACGTGGCATGATTCGATTACATATTTTTTGACATGAGCTTCTCATCATTTTACGCTTGATGGGATAGACATTCACTTTATTATGATTCTGCATGCAGAGCCATCTGAGTGGAACTAACTATAGCTGTAAACAAAATATGGAATCTAACTCGCAACACATTTTTGTTTATTGGACTTGTGACCAGGTGTTTTTGGTCACTGGAAGACTGTGCAACGCCATCCCTAATCGATTACATAAGAGGTTTTACATGTTATTCAATGGTATTCTTGATTGAGAGACAGTCGTGTTAGCCACCGTCAGGAAAAAAAAATTGGTGTCATACCAGTCAGCAATTCTGACATAGTGGATTTTGGGACGGATAAGTGAAATTATCAAGTATTTTGAAATAGGCAACACATATAATGAAACAAAATATCCTAAATATCGTGTCCCGCAGGGCACAATACTAGGACTCTTGCGGTTTGATATATATTTGAACAATTTGTTCCAAATTGAAACGAAAGGCGAGATAACTTTGCAGATGATAATAATTTATGAATCAAATTAATGGTCAAGACTGAAAACTTTACTTGAAAACAATTTTTCACATATGTCTAATTGGTTGGATAATAAGCTGTTACAATAAATACGAGTCAAATCTTCTTTATGCCATTCACATCCTATCACACATCATTACCAAATTACACTAAGTTTATCATCCAAGGTCACCCTAAGAACATAACAATTGAACAAAGTTTATCAATCAAACACCTTGGGACCTTCGTAAATCCCCACCTAAAGTGGGACATTCAAATAAATTTTTTCATAAAAAATTGTGATATCTACTACATAAACTCAAAATTCCTAGTAATATGGTAACATTGCCTCAAATGAAAATTATATCCAGCTCATTTATTGACAACTCAGATGTTCAACATGACAGATTTTTTGGATTTAGATAGATCAATTGTATTTCTATAAAATGCAAACCATCCAAAATTATTGTTCCAAAACCAGATGCCACAGCTTTTTAGGCCCAGAATGTTACAATAGTGTGCCTATAAACATAAGAAGACTTCAAAACATCAGTTTATTCAGAAGAAAATTAAAAGAGTGCGTTACCTGATACTGAAAACATAAAAAGCTATTTACGCCCAGAAAAATCACGTGCTAAACAGTATTTCGACCGAAACATTCTTTTTCTGCTATTAAGAATTACAGAAAAGTACTTAATTTTTTTATTTACTTCCTGTTACTTCTGTACGGGTATACCACAAGGGTAATTACTTTCCTTTTTTATTCCACGCTCAAGGCTTTGTCTTTCGTGGTTTACTTATTTATTTATCAAATATTATACATTTTGTTACAATGTGTGATATTTGTTTCTATGACGATGAATAAAAGATCTGATTTGGAACCTTTGTCAAGAAAACAGAAAAATGTCGATGTCATATCAGTCAGCAATATTGACGTGGATTTTGAGATGGATAATAATAAGATGTAATCTCGATTTGCATATTTGGGGTATCGTTTTGCTTCAAGAGGATCCAGGCTTTTAACGATAACCCTTAACATTACGTTCACTTTAGCGAATCAATTTTTTCAGATAAACATCAGGCTTTCATGAAACTATTTCTTTAGAAGCACCTGTACTCGTATTTGCACATGCAGTACTAACAGCATAAGCGATACAAATTCAATTGCGACTCTAACTCACGATTTTACTATTGAACCAATGAGAAGGCGTCCTTGAAGTAATGGATCTAATGAATTTGTTCGATTTCTTGTAAAATGTCTCTCAAACTAAAGGAAAATTATACGATTTTTATAAGATCGGCTCCTAATTCTCATATTAAATCAAGAAATACTTCATGTATTACATAATTCTGCTACAAAAAGTTTTCGTTTGGGTTCGGATACAAAAGTTGACGCAAATTTCACCAGTCAAAAAGAGGGGTTTATGGACTACTCGAAACATGGATCAAACTTGTTACAATGTATTGACACGACGCCATTACTGAACATTTTATGGAAAATAACTGTTACTGTACAAAACTCTGCTTGATAAATTCTTTGAAGACAAATACAGTTACAGAATGCTTATTGTATTTTAACAATCATTTTACTTAGTGTTAACAGGAAGATGTCGCGCACTCTGCTGGATGGTACGGGTACCTACTACTTGGCCATGCCACGCCGCGGTAGCGGCAGCCAGGCTGGAAATACTTGTCCTATTGCCCAGTAGAGGGTGCGATACCTTTCTTTTAACAGTGCAAGTGTAAGGCTATTAAAGAAGGATTGTTTTGAACTTCTGAGATATCAGGCCGATCTTAAAACTTCAAATTTTCTTTTCCCAGAGTATTTTAGTGGGGGCGTTTTGCCTCCTGACCGTAGCACATAGCGAGGCAGGGAAGACCACAGAAGCCTCCAAACATGTGAAGAGAAGCCTCCACGGTTGGGAAGAAACCCACGAAGAGTGGGCTGCACCCATCGAGCATCACGAAGAGTGGAAAGTTCCAGAACATCATGAGGAAAAGCACGAGGAATGGAAGATCCCCGAGGAAAAACATGAAGAGTGGAAAATCCCTGAGGAGAAACACGAAGTAAAACATGAAGAGTGGAAAATCCCTGAGGAGAAACACGAAGTAAAACATGAAGAATGGAAAATCCCTGAGGAGAAACACGAAGAAAAACATGAAGTGTGGAAAATCCCTGAGAAGAAACACGAAGTAAAACATGAGGAGTGGCATACTCCAGAGAGTCATGAAGTGAAGCATGAGGAATGGAAAATTCCAGAGCATCATGAGGAAAAGCATGAGGAATGGAAACCTAAAGAAGAAAAACATCATCACCATCACCATCATGTTGAGAAGACGGTTACCATTGTGAAAGAAGTCAAAGTTCCATACCCTGTAGAAAAGGAGGTCAAAGTGCCCGTTTACAAAGAAGTACCTTATCCAGTTGAAGTAAAAGTACCGAAGCCTTATCCTGTTATTAAAGAAGTACACGTTCCTGTCAAAGAGGTTCACGAGGTTTGTAGGCACTTTTTCATAGTGAGCAATGGCGATAAAATATATCGAAATTTCGGGAACGTTCAGTTTTTACAAGTCTCAAAATCTCAGTAGCTTCAAAGGTTTCCAAATTCAATAGGTAATTAAAAAAAAAATTGATTTCGAAAGCTACTGAAAAGTCTTTAACATTATGAAAATTATGAAGATTATGAAAATTCAAAAAATTTTGAAAATTTTGAAAATTAAAAAAAATTTGAAAACTTATAATTCTAAAAATTATGAATGTTTTAAAAATTGTTAATATTTTTAAAAATTACCAACGCTTCCATAATTTTCAAAATTTCCATTATTTTGAAATTCTCATAATTTTAAAAATTTTCGAAATTCTCATGGTTTTCGAACTTTTCAAAATCTTAGATATTTACAAAGTTTCTATCATTTTCAAAATCTTCAGTCTCTAGTCTGGCCAAGGCTTTTTGAATTTCTAGAGTACGACAATTTCCTCAATTCTCATAATTTTTCTCAAGATTTTCAAGATCGTTAAAGTCTAAATGTTTTCGAAAACACAAACATTTTCAAAAATTTCAAATTTGTTCGAGTTTCTAATATTTTTATATTTTCAAAAGGTGCAAGACTTCGTTTTGTTTCCAAAATTTCAAAGGTCTTCCGTCCAAAGTCTTCAGAGATTTCATAATATTATAATATATATCGAAATTTCGCAAATGTTCAGTTTTTACAAGTTTCAAATTTTCCGTAGCTTCAAAGGTTTACAAATTCAATATTATCAAAATTTTGAGATTTTGAAACTCCTGAAAAGTCTTTAAAATTCCGAAAGTCATAAAAATTATGAAATTTCAAAAAAATTTGAACATTTTGAAAATTTTAAAAAGTTTGATAACTGGTAATTCTAAAAATTATGAAAGTTTTAAAAACTGTTGATATTTTCAAAAATTACCAAGACTTCCGTAATTTTCAAGATTTTCAAAATTTCCATTATTTTGAAATTCTCATAATTTTAAAAATTTTCGAAATTCTCATGGTTTTCGAACTCCTCAAAATCTTAGATATTCAGAGAGTTTCTATCATTTTCAAGATCTTCAGTCTCTAGTCTTACCAAAACTTTTTGAATTTCTAGGGTACGACAATTTTCTCAATTCCCATAATCTTTCTCAAGATTTTCAAGATAGTTAAAGTCTAAATGTTTTCGAAAACACCAACATTTTCAGAAATTTCAAATTTGTTCAAGTTTCTAACATGTTTATATTTTCAAAAGGTGCATGACTTCGTTTTGTTTCCAAAATTTCAAAGGTCTTCCGTCCAAAGTCTGCAGAACTTTCATAATATTCTAATTGTTCGAATTTTCAAGTTTCGAAAGATACAGATTATTCAGAATTTTCAGATCTCACAAAATTTTCAGAATTTTCAACTTTTTTTAATTTTTCTTTAGGTCAAGGTACCGGTGCACAAACCAGTACCTGTAGAGAAGATCGTCAAAGTACCCGTAGAAGTAAAAGTTGACGTGCCCTACCCAGTAAAGGTAGAAAAACCCTTCCCCGTACCTGTCGAGAAAAAAGTATACGTCCACTACCCCGTCAAAGTACCCAGACCCTACCCCGTGGTCAAAGAGATACCGTTTCCAGTCAAAGTTCCAGTCCACGTTATAAAACCATATCCAGTGCATAAAACTGTACATTATCCAGTGAAGAAATATGTGGATAAGCCAAGACCAGTACCAGTGGAGAAGCCGTACCCAGTCAAGGTTGAGAAGAAAGTTTGGGTACCTTATGAAGTGAAAAAGCCGTACCCAGTAAAGGTTTATGTTGAAAGACCCGTTCCAGTGAAGGTTGAAAAGGAGGTGCCATATCCTGTGGAGGTTAAGGTATGCAGAAAAGTACCTCTTACTGCAATACTAGCTGTAACCTCGTTCGCTCAAAATTGTTAAGATGACCAAAATTTTAAAATTAGCACAGATTAAACTCTATATATACTTTATTCGAAAGACTCTGCACTTACCTAAGTGTCACAATTTTCTAGATTATTCTTGAAATTAATTTTTTACAGGTTCCAAAACCATACCCGGTTGAGAAAATAGTCAAAGTCAAAGTCGAAAAAGAAGTACCATATCCCGTAGAAGTAAAAGTTGAACGACCAGTCCCATACGAAGTAATAAAACATGTCCCATACACTGTAATCAAGAAAGTACCATACCCCGTGAAGGAACTGGTGCCAGTACCCATAAAAGAGCATCATCACGAGCATAAGCATCACCACAAGCAGGAGGAGAAGAAGCAAGAGGACCACGGATGGCATAAAGAAGAAGAAAAACATGGTTGGGAAGAAAAGAAAGAAGAAAGTCATGAAGTTCATGGTCAGGAACATGGACATCATGAAGAAGAGAAGAAATGGGAGGACTATGAGAAGAAAGAAGAGCACAAACATCCTAAGTTTGAAGAGGAAGATAATCCTGAAGATTGGAGATGGTAATAATTTTATGTAGGTGCGTAGTTTTGGTCGAAACTATGGAATATGACATAAATTTGCACAACTTTAAATTTCCAAAGCACAAGTTACGGTAAATCGCTATTATAAAAGTAACGAAACAATTACAGGAGCTTGTTTTTAGTAAAATTATCTAGTTACCTGGTATTGCAAGCTACATTCCTATCTAAAGCAATTTACACTACCTAAATTTCTACACTGAGCAAAAATTCATTTTGTTCTTACTCTGGATAGAGGTAGGTCGTACATACATTTTACGTCAAATAGCGTCCCAGGATAATAGAACATTACATGCCTAGTTTGAAAAGTGGACCATTATTGGGTGAGTCCTTTTATAACGCGCTTATGTCTCAACAGTTCTAAAATATTCCGAAATATAAAGCCCTGTTGCTAAACTGTACTATCTAAACTAGACAGGTTACAATTTCAAATTGCATTATTATTTACCTAGGTGTTTTTTGTTTTCATTAATTACCCACGGAAAGAAGTGCAACTTCTCAATAGGGAATCGCTGTAAATAATGATGATTTCTCGGACTAGTACTGAAAAAATATTTTCTAGGCATTTCCAACTGACAAAAGACTAAACTCCATGGTGATCAGTAGTGGTCATATTTTTAACGACATGATGTATTGTGGTTTTTAGGGTTTGTTTTCTGATCGACCGTTGAAGTCTCCTTTAAAAATCCGATTAAAACCGTCTTGCCTTTGCCTTTCTGCGAGTCAAAAACAGGGCATTTAAATAATGAAATTTTGAAGAATAGTCCTTGCTGTGCCGTTTCATATTGTAGAATCAAAGATAACTGCTTAACAGTAACACATTGGGCTCTACTGATTTCAAAACTTACTGTGTCACGAATCTAATAGCATTTTCAATTTCTTACAGTTTAGGCAATTTTTCTTGTAAGAATGTTCTGCACTTTACACAATATTTTCTGTCACCCTACGTTTTACCGAGAAAACCATTTGTACCAGGGGGATTACTTGTGCACCAACAAAGCATATTTATGGTAAATGGATCTCAGTAGATTTGTCTAAAAATTGAGTATGAAATATTTTTCATTCTTTAACAACAGTTCTCGTAGAACCGAAGTAATCATATGATTAGTTTCTGAGAAATAGAGGGGGGGAGGCGGTTGCTCGACTGCAAAAATTGAGACTGTTTTTTTGGCCTACTTTCCGCATATCGAAAAACCACATGAGCCCAGGGTATGAGCACCAAATTTACATATGCAATAATATCTATTAACTATTTCATAATCATCTAAAGCGATAATGCCGCATTAGCATCTCCCATAAATAATAATCTGAGGTGTTTTGGGTTCGGTACATGCTGCAATTATGGTATTCTCGAGGAATCTAAAAATCAAATTTTTATACACATTCACCTTTTTTAGACTCGGCAAACTTCATGCCACTACTTCTCAGAAACTAATTATGGGATTGCTTTGATCTCACTGGAGCTTTAATTCAGAAAGACGAGAAGTATATCATATTGAAATCTTCGACAAATCGACAGAGACCCATTTTACATATGTTCTGTGCGGAGTCCTTTCACGGTGCACAACGGGATATTAACTCAAGGGTTCCCAATTTTGATTATTTCTCTAACATCTACGTTATGCTTCTACACCTTGCTCAAAGTAGGTCAGCCAAACTGTCCAAGAATTGACAAATAATGCGCCTGCACTATTTTTGACCTCCGCAACTGCGCTTTTCTTGATATTACCCAATACTAATCCCTCCGATACCAGTGACTAGCGCTACAAGAAAATCCATAGATGTAGATTGGTAGTAAATGTAGCAGATCTACTCGGATACTTTATTACATTTTGTAGATAACAGTAATAACTAATCATAATAGTTAACAACATAAAAACAATTCGAACAAAGCTTCTGTCATATTTCATAGCAGACGTAAAAACAAGAAAAATATTAGTTTAGTAACTCATGTCCAGTATTAGCTTTTCTCTTTCCTACTCTGGATGGCTAACTAAAAATTGTAAAATTGCATTCTTTTAAGACTGATAAGTTCCATTTTTGAATGTATCCGTTATGTTATTTTTGCTTTATCATTCATGTGGTATTTCCATAACTCCTACTCTATTTTTTGTGCATCATCTACACCGAAAACAGTTTTTTCACTTATTTGTAAATAATAACTGCGTCAAAAAATAGTTTATTTGGCTGTCTTTGGTGCAAATGATGCATAATTTTCCATTTAGGTACTTGTTATTTTTCACCTTTAATCTAGATTGTTCAATAAAAAAAGGTTCTTTATTTTTGATACTTCCAAAAATACAGGTTTTTACTTGTTGTGTTTCATTTCTTCCAATATATGTTTCGAAGCCGTTTCTAAAGGATTCTGTTCTTATCATAACCATCATAGCTAGTTTAAGTCCTTTTCTTCTCACATGTAAGTTTCTCTTCCCTCAGAATAATTATTGAAATCACAATTTCTAAACTGTCAACGGCCTTTCGATAAGCCAGATTGAACGTCAAATTCGAAAGTAGGTCATTCCATAAGAAACAAACCAGAAATATGCCATTTTTGAAGCAAGTTACCTAAGCCTGTATGCGTAAATTACGGATAAGGAAAAAGGAAGTTGCAATGTTTCCAAATTGCTTCCTTGTTTTTAGATAATTACGCAGACAACTGCTGAAATCTTTTGTATCGGAACCTGCGTATAATTTAGTCAAATTTGCTTTATTAAGTTAAATGTGGACATGATTGATATCGAACGTATATATGCAAGTGTCCTACATTACAGGATATTTCGTTACATTAGGCCTGCTTAAATTCTTTTTATGGCTACGAAATGTTTTACGAGCGCCTTAAAGATTCTAAAATGAATTGATAATAAATTGTAGTTCGTTAGCGAATAGATAATTAGAGAATGTGATTTAATAACTTCTTACATTCTTTTCTTTTTTTCATAATCCCTACTAAACTAAGCTAATAAAATTATAAATGGGAAGGTGTGGGTATTTGTTACTCAATCATGCCAAAATAGCTGAATGGATCTGGATGAAATTTGGTACAAAAATAGATTATAGCCTGGAATAGTATACATAGGCTTAATGCAGATTGAAGTGAGGTGTCTAATGCAGAAGCACTGAGTCGCTGGTCTGATCGAAATGAGTGAATATATAAATAAAGCGTGTGCATCGTTCATTTTACGAATTTCGATATAAGTTTCCTTATCGTAATTGTCTTCACATAGATTTGTTTGGTGTTTTATTTTTTTTCAAGTGTACTCGATATTGTTTCTGTACATGTACCAGCTTTTACTGTCTAGCGAGGGGAGGGGTATTCTTTTTCTAACCAAAAATTTAATGTTCGTGATATGAAAGTTAAAGGAAGACTTACTTTGATCATAATGATAGAGTGTCAATTCCCTTATAGATCATTTTGAGGTCATCGACAAATTACTTTTATTATCCTAAAGCTTTTCTTACTTTTTTCCAAAATACGCGTGGTTGCCAAGTTTTTTGGGGTGTTCAGGTTTTTCATATACTCCCTGTAAATATACAGGGGGGGGTGTTCAGGTTTTTCATATACTCCCTGTAAATATACAGAAACACGACGATAATTTCGCGGGTATCAATAAGTAAGTGTAAAAATTTTTACATCTCTCTGTGTTGTGGTTAAAAAGTGATGCCGCTTGACTGGAGAGACATTCACATTTATATATTGATGCAATAAAAAATATTGGTCACCAAAGTAACCATTGCATCCGAAACTGATCTCCATCAAACTAATGCAAGACATACGAGTGATACGTTACGCCACCTCCACGTGAGCAGAACCGTGGGCTTAGGCTAGGATTGCATATGAGAACGGTGTTTTTTGCACATATTTTTATCACTGATTTAAGGAATACCAGTCTAAAGAAAGAACATTTTATGAAACATAGCAATAAGATCAAAAGAATAGTTGTAAAAGGATTGCTACGTAATCGTCTATCGCTCAAATTGAAAACCAAGGCATTGAAAAAATCTCTTTTGTTGAATGATTAAGGAATTAAGGATTGATTTTTGTTATAGTCATCTTTATGCTATTACAATTACAACATTTTGTAGCTAATAGCCAATAAACAACTATTCTGTAATTTATAAAAATTTCGGCAAAAGAGATTTCTGAAATTGGCTTGTTTGCAATATAATCTGGCAGTCAGGCCGGATATTGCGAGCTGCGTGACACCTTGGCAACGGTAAATGGGTAAATTTTCCATGCCCCAACTTTGTCAGCTAACGGCGAGTTCGAATGGAAGGCGTGGTCGAATAGAGTTTTTCATAGTATTATACAGAGTGGTCCATAAGTCCTTTGAAATTTCAAATTTGAATAAAATTTAACGGGTGAGCGTGAGCGGCGCGGGCGAGGTGGGGGCAGTATCTTCAGTGTCTGGGAATTCAGTCGCCATGGAGTGTTTCACTGGAGCGGATCGTGCTTTTTGTGTGCGCGCGTTTTATCAAAATAATGATTCGGCAACCATTGCGCGGCGTAAATATCGAGAATACCACAATTTACACAATTTTACAAAGTGTTCAACAGCTCAAACGATTAAGAACTGGGTTGATAAGTTCGAAGAGACTGGTTCGACGTTAGATAAACAGCGGTGGGGTCGACCAAGGACAACTCGTATTGAAGAAAACATCAACATTGTGGCACAGTCTGTTCGTCAATAATCCTACCCAGTCTACTCGTAAGCGTTCCAGTGCACTAAACGTACCCAGCACATCTTTATAGTGGATTTTAAGGAAAGATTTACGTCTGCACGCTTACAAAATTCAGTTAGTGCAGGAATTAAAAGATAATGACGCTATTCAGAGACTAAACTTTGCGAATGAAATGTTGAATCGATTTTCTTCGCTCAATAATGTGTTGTTCTCGGACGAGGCTCACTTCCATTTAAACGGGCATGTAAATAAACAAAATTGCCGTTATTGGAGCCCCGAAAATCCAAGGCGTAAGCATCAGAAGCCCTTACACAGCCCTAAAGTTACAGTTTGGGCTCCTATGTCAGCGCATGGCATCGTAGGCCCTTATTTTTTTGAGGACGACAGAGGTCGCGCATTAACTGTTACATCGGAGCGGTATGTAGCAATGATAGAAGAGTTTTTGACACCAGCGTTGCAGAATTTTCCAGGCTATAATACGCAGACCTGGTTTCAACAGGACAGAGCAACTGTCCACACCTCCAACACTTCTATGCCCGTCGTCTGTCAACTTTTTCCCAGCAAAGTAATTTCTCGAAGAGGAGACATTTCCTGGCCAATACGTAGTCCAGATTTGACCCCAATGGACTTCTTTTTATGGGGCTACCTCAAGAGTAAAGTGTACGACACCACTCCGTGATCAGTTGATGTCCTGAATGAAAACATCCGAAGAGAAATGGCAAGCATTACAGTGTTGACTTGCCGCGCAGTCATCGACAATTTTAGACGTCGTTTATATGAGTGCCGTGATCGTAATGGATTGCATTTAGACGATGTGATTTTTAAAACATAATTCCCATTCAATAAAGATGATAACAAAATATAATAATTCTTCATAATGTAACTAGTTTGGTTTTATTCTTTTTTTCCAGCTCAAACGACTTTATATTATTATTATCTTATTTTTTTAACAATCTCAATTTCTCTCATGTATCACAGGTTACCGTTGTTTACATGACATGAGCACCCAAGGCGTGACTGAAGTAGCTTAGAATCAAATAAAATCATCTAAAAGACCAAGTACAGGGTGTTTCAGAACTAAGGGACCAAACTTCTAGGGGTTATGCAGTGTAACAGTAGAAAACATTTGAGTATAGCGACCCATATCCGGAAAAGTGTCACTACGGCACTACGGCCCTAAGATGCGTTAAAAATTAGAAAGACAATGAATTGCCTAAATAGGATTTAATGCATTTAATTTTTGCCTTTTGTACATGATATCATCACAACAATTGTTCAAAATGTCTTTCTCCAACCTGAATATACCGATTTAAGCGTCGCGCATGATTTCGGCGGTCTTGACTAAAAAACTTGATACTCGTTTTGAATGATTTTAAATGCTGCTGTAATTCGTCCAATTAAGTCATGCTCTGTTTCTACTGGAGTTTCGTAAACCAAAGACTTCACATGTCCCCACAGGAA